CCCCCTCCCCCGCCATGCGGGGTTGCCGCGTACGGCCCCGTGAAAGTTTTTGGCGGGAAAATGAATTTCCCTTAGAATTTTTTTGGGTCTTTAAACAGATGCTGGGAACAAAAGCGGTAAGAATATTAACCAATTTCACCTTGAAATTAAAAATTTGAAAATTACCGCACGATCTTGCGCAACAATTGCCGGATTGTAGCGGAAATAGTATTCTTTCCATGGTCTGATACACATCAGCCTCGTGTTTGGCCGTAGAACATAGATGAAACGTGGATACTGGTTGTAATGGGGGTTGAGGAAACGCCGTTTCTCCGCAATTATGTACGACCAGAGCGATACTGTATTGTTTTTGACACGCTGAAAAAAAAAGAAGATCCGTCTATGGGATAATGAGTCCGCCCAAAGGATATTGAATCAATCCGCCCATAGGATATTGAATCAAACCCGCCATTAGTTTTTTCTAAGTAGCTCTTGGAAAGGGGGAGGAGTGGTTGGTGTTGTTGGAAAAACGCTATTTTTTTAAAGATTCTACAAAAATTCTACATTTATATGGGGATGTTTTAACTTCTGATTTAATACTAAGAATACCGAGTTCGCCGGGGAAATCACCATGCAAGCCCGGTATCTGTGACTTCACTGGGAAGTTCCCACATGCCAGACACAGTTACGGGTTCCTGCGCCGTAGTTTAACACTTAGACTCATACTGGCTGTGTTTTGGCCTCTTCCCCGCGCCAAAACATAGCCAGGTTCTTTCAGGTCCATTCGATCCTGGACCGCATACTTCCAATTAATACTCACAACATATCTGTTCAATGCTTGTGCGCTAACTTTTCATGGGTCGTTTAAGTCGTCGTTTGCTTTTTTGATCCCAAAATTTTATTAATTTTGGAAAAACTCAGTTCTATTTTTTCCGCAAAATTTCGAAAATATTACTTAGTTTCTTCCTCAGTTCCATATGGGTCGTATAACTAGCTTTTCATGCAACCCAATTAAATCGAGCAGTTAATTTCGAGTGGGTCCGGATCAAATCCTTCACGGTATGAAAAGCTAAGTGTTTCAGAAATTTTAAAAATACAAACAATGAATATCTCTGGCTAGGAAACTGGAAGAAGAGCTAACGTCCACAAAGAAAAACTAGAACTTATAAAAAACAAACCTGATCACGATGACGTTGCTTTTCACTGTTGTACAGAAATGTTCCAAAACGACATGAATACAGTTCATCCAAAATTGTGATAAGCAGCGTGGCATTGAATTCAAATGCGTATGGGAACTAAAAGCATGTTTCTCAAGAACTAGAACACAAATGCTTAAAAGATACACTTATTCAGAATAATCGAATTAGCTATATATAAAAAGATACGCACACAGGCGAACCCAGGGAAGCCTTCCGACTCACCGGCGTAGGAGGGAATGGGCTTACTGATAACTGGCGGGGAGGGGGGGGGGGGGGGGGGGGGGGGGGG